TTTCTATTCAGATTAATAATTAATTCCATTGGGTTTTTTTATATGTTTTACTACTGGACAGCTGCTGTTTCACCCTAGTTTGGAAATCATCGGAAGTACGCACCCACTGAGACCCGATTCAATGGCCAGCACATGAATTCTAACTTCTACCAATTCGTGATTTAGTGCGATCCCAACCATTGTCGTTGATGGGACATCCATCCACACACGTGACATCTAATTGGACCTCACTGGTCACGACTTCTCACTAGAACTCACTCCAGGAAACTCCGTCGTCCTGTAGCAAGCAAGTCACTAGCGAGCATCAGATTAATTTTGTATAGTTTTGTTTGTTAGGGTTAGAGTCATGTGAGAAGTTGTGACCAGTGAGGTCCAATTAGATGTCACGTGTGTGGATGGATGTCCCATCAACGACAATGGTTGGGGTCGCGCTAAATCACGAATTGGTAGAAGTTAGAATTCATGTGCTGGTCATTGAATCGAGTCGGGTCCCATTGGCTGAATGGTTAATACGAGCCAGCTAGTTGGCCTTGTAACCGGTAGGTCCTGGGTTCGAACCCTGGTGGTGGAGTGGGATGGGTGCGTACTTCCGATGATTCCCAAGCTAGGATGAAACAGCTGGCTGTCCAGTACTCCCTGTGGCTGGTTTTCAGTGGTTCTCTAACTGATATCAATCAATCCTTCTGTGATCAACTCGTAAAAACATAACTAACCCTTACAAACTAAACTATAGAAAATATGTTTTAGTAACCATTTTGGAACATGTTCTTTTCTGCGACGACATGGGAACATTCTATTGGTTCTACCTATATCTGTGTGTACCACCGCAACTGCAGGTGAACTTGTAAATACAGAATTTCATCCTGTAGTCGTAGGTACCGGGATCAAAAATGTTCGGTATGAGAGGGAAAGAGATTCTGTGTAGAATGTGTGCGCTTGATGGCTGACCGAAGTCTTTGAGCTGTCAACTGCATAATCTGGTCACCGTTGAATGGTAGGTTAATAAAGCTAGCTTTCTTTGGTATAGAAGGTGTCTTTTCAAGATGTGGTCTATCCTTACTGTGACAATTGATAGAGTAGGTTTTCTGGATAACCATTAGCTAATAAAACTGAATGTATATGTCGAAACTCATCCATCAATGTAGGCCCTTGAGAACAAACATTTCACTAGGGAGCATTTATTCTGGATAGGAACAAAAAGGGGTGAAATGAAGATATTGTTCACTCCATGTCTGTTTTACGAAATATAGATCGCTGAGTCGTTCCATCATCTCTCCTGGTCATTGAAATATCCATGAAACCGAATTTGTTGCTCAATTTGAATTCAGAATGCACTCGGATATTTTGATGAATATGATTAAATAGAGTAATAAAGTTTTCAATAGACTTACTATTATTACCAATAATAGACTTCAACCATCCTTTGCCTACCATGCACTGACTAATTGACCTATTTAAATGTGATGATTAGTCATTAGTATGTACTTTTTTTTTATATAACTGAGTAATTTTCATGCACTTTATTTTATTATTATTGTGAACCATGTTAGTTGTAAAGCGGTTGTAAAGAAACTACGAAATGAAGAAATCATCTCGTGGCGAAATTTGCCTTCTAAAATGCCTTATTCAAATTGTTGTCTAAATAACTGGCTATTTTATTATCAAAAGAATGGGGTTACTGAACAAAGAATACTCTTTTTGATAACCCCCTTCATCATCAGGTTAAATATCCATTCATAATAGTGAATGAATGAATGAATTAGTCTTATGAACGACATTAATGTTGCTGTTTAAATAACATCGAATCAATAATACTGATAGATTACAGTTCAGTAGCATTAACATAAAATAAGCTGAATGTCAGAAAAATTAGGAAAGATAATATTACAAATTCACGAATTTAAAGTCTCTACTGAAGGCCAGCCAGGGCAGTAGTAGTGGCTGGCTGAACTTGCTTCTTTCGCACACAAAGCACTGGTTGTTTGAGGCGAATTTCAATAGCCTCTACTGTTTGGAGCATGTGGTACCTGGTTGTTTTTAGCAATTTATTTGACATTCGGTAGATGATAGAGAAGGATTCTTCAATGTTGGCTGGTTGGCTTTGTGGACGGCAGATTCGGACCAGATGGTTCAATATCGAACTGTTAATGGTTTTCACTACACATTTACTTAGTCATAGTATAGGAGATGTTCTCGAGCGAGCACGAAAAATCAAGTTTCTAGAGCAACGGCCGATATAACTCTCTCCATAATAAGCGCAATTGAATTGGTAGATACAATTTGAAGTGGCTAGTCAGCCTAGATACTTCATCTTTCAGTCGTGTAGAGAATAAGACCGTGTAGTTCACCAGCATTAAAAGTTCTTTGAACTGGTTTTTTTTTAATTTCTTCGTGATTATTTCGCTTGGTATATCGCCCTTGAATTGCAGTCGTATATCATTAAGAGGCTTCTTGTTGTTTACGGATAGTGAGTAGTCCTTTTGATATAAGTATAAAACTTGGGCAATGTGGTGGTAAAGTATAACTCCATTATGCATAAGATTTAATTTTGATAAATCACACAGTGTGCTTGTTATACAGTAATATTAACTGATGTGACCACGTTTCCAGCACAAATTAATGCTCCTAACCATCATATCACTACTCACACAACTTTTTCCTTCATTTCTATACATAAGTGAAATCGATTAGATATTGGAATAAAAATCGATATGAGATAATGTACATTCAGAAATAATAATAATATGAGTGTTATTCACCAAATACAATCAGATGGGAATATAAGACGAGTGCTTTTATAGTCAAAATAAGTAACTTGTTAGAATGTTATGATGCGTTTGGATTGAAATAGAATACAATTTAAGATAATTTATTATCCTCCTCTGATTTGACTGACTGGTGGTAATAATATCTAACATATCTCTGGTATTTGTGTTGAGTCACTTCTATTGCGTGTGTTGGATAAAGGGGGACTTGATGAACCAGGCAGGATTCAGTAATCAATCTCTCTCACTCTCCACCTACATGGATTACTTCTTAGAATCTTAACCCTCTCCCACCCACCCTATTGTGTGTTAGTGCATGCAGTCTGTCTGTCTGTTTTCGACATAGAACATTGTACATATATGCCGCAGTTCAAGTCGCCACACTCCACTCCTTGTACCACACAAAGCAACAGAAGAAAGTAGAAGAAATGCATTATAGAGACAGTAAACAGAGGTGTCAGACAAAGGAATAGTAATAACGAGGAACAATGTAGTTCCATTGGAAATCATAAGTCACAAGGAGTGGATGCATCTGCACGAGCCATTGAGAACGATTTTGAGCCATGACACCAATTGTTTCCAACTATTGGTTTTACTGTCCTGAGGACCCCAACCAGGAAGTCTACACCTTCCTACGTGGCTTAGACTAACTGTTGTGGATTTCATTGACTGACGAGGCCATCTTTTGGTTTCACCGCCGCTAGCTCTTTTCCAGCCTGACCCTATATCAGCTAACATTGCCCATCGGTTGAGGAAGGCGATGGGTAGGCATGTCTACGTAACGCATATCCTAACCATCTCAGCCGATATAATTTCACAGCCTCATGGATTGATTTCCCCTCCCTTCTTACCTAGCACTCGACCTATCCCTAACCTCAACATTGCTCACCGTATTATACCACTTGACACGACACGGGAGATAGAACGCAGACACCTATGATCAAAGACAGGTAGCTAATCTTTTCATGTCTTCCACTCTCAGTGGCCAGGTCTCACAGCCATAAAGGAGGAAGGGGCGGACTGGTGAGCAGTACACCCACCCTTTGGTCGACAGCCAGCTAGCCGGATATCACGTCTACTAAGCCAGAGACGGCGTAAACTGGCAAATGCGAAACTAGCCCTCTGTATCCGTGCTGAGATTTCGTCAGCGATCAGATCAACCCGTTGGCGCTGGCTGATGGTCTTTCCCAAATAAGTGAAGTCGTCAACGTGCTCCACCAACCACTTCACTTCCTATTTCTAATCTACCACAGACGCACCCAGCTTGATGTATGATACATACGTATATATCTATGTTCCAGATAGCTGAACTCAGACGATTGATCCAAGACAGTTTTCCATAACGTTGTCTATGCTGATGACTAAAATCAGACTTGGAAAATTGAAGATTAATTTCGTACTGAACCCTTATAAGTTAATGAATCATTTGAAAACTATGAAGCCGTCAATCAATGCCTACTAAGGTAGTTAGTAACAGTCTCTTTCAGGTTTCACTCGTTAAGTGATCACAGACAGCTTCAGTGGCTTGAAGTAGTCATGAAGTGCTTTTGTGTGTTCATCATCACCCACCGCCTACTCTGTTGACCCATCCTATTGTATGGTTGTGTGACTTGGAGGACGTCATGTGAAGAAGAGATGAAAGCATGTGGGCAGACTTGGAGTGGGGTGAAAAAGTTGGCTGAAAACCGAACGCAATGGAGACGCGCGGCTGAAGCCCTATGTTCCTCTAGGAATTAAACTATATAAAAATAATAATAGTGTAACTGCATGTAGTGAGTGCTATAGCTGAACTATCCTCTAGATTTCTTATCTTATTTGGGTCAACCAATTTAGATTTAGTTAGGTTTTTATGTTCAGCTAGTCTGACTGCCCCTGTTCTACTAGTTTGACCTATGTATTTGACCTCACAATCATTACTGGTGGGGTATTAGATAAATTAAATTGTTTTGTTTTAAAGGCTCCATTGACAGGATCCTTTAACCGACAAAGCTTGTTTCCAGCTGAGTTTGTGGGGCGGTTTGAATGCCAGCCACTTTTATTCCTGCCTTGTTCAGAATTCTCCTCTATAAGGTTTCCGAGGTTACTGCTGATGATTTAGATTCCTTATTGTTGGTGTTGTCAGTACGGAGTACCCCTCAACCACTGAACTACCACTGCACTCTGTTTTACATACACTTGGTTTATTCTTTATTGATTTTATACTTTGTTGTTTTGTTTTTTTTGTAATGCTTCTAGTGATATTCTGGATAATGGAACGGTAAGCAGTCAAAGTAATTCAGCGTGTATTGCACTTCGTAAACAGCTATTTGGTGGTTGTGATGATGGAAGTGATGAACAATACTTACAAGAACATCAAAAGCCACTGCCTTCAACGGAGGGTAGTTTATCGTGTCATAAATCATCATTTGAAAACATTCAGAACTACGACTACTACTACCACAATGATATCGAGAATGTTAATCCATCTCGAACGAATTCCCCACCGTTACTATTATCATCATCCCCATTACAACCATCACTGCCGTCATCTCCATCCCTTCCGATGAAATCAAATCCATCATTGGTGAGGGTGACAAATCATCAAAAGGTACAATTAACCGTCACTGCCGCCACCACTGCCATCAGTAGAGAAAATTCACGTCATCCATGGGATGAAGCTTCACTAGATAATAATGATATTCCACTATCCCCTGTACTACGTCAATTACAATGGAATGTACAAAAAGATATTGATAATCCATTGACAGCAATACAGTCAAAGCTTTCTTCACATATTCCTCTATCGAATAATGGTGTATTCCCATCGAAAAGATTGACGATGACATTGACAGAAACAAGCAGAAATCAACCTCCACGTCTACGTCCTAGACGTTCACTATTCCAGTAATAATAATAATAAAGCATTTGTTTGTATATTTATTGACACATATGTTTCATTGATTTTTGATTGCTAAGTGATGAAAAACTGTTTGGCAGCAAAAAGACATTTGTTTGTGTGTTTTTTTTTCACCACTCCTTCTTTCGTTCGTTTCTTTCAAATGTTTCTCCCAAACACTGTTTACTGCTTTCATTCAAAGTTTTACCCCTTTAATATCCTTTTGTACACGTTCCAAATGTTTATCCTTTTATATAAATTATGTTTGTTTTTTTAAAAAAAAACCGCTTTTTAAAAAATTGTGATTCATGTTGTGTTATTTTTTGTAAATTACAAAACAGATACTTTGTCACTTTATTTACTGATTTTGTTTCTAAACTACTGAATATGTTGTAAGTAGTATGTTTGTTTTTCGCTAGGAAAAAATTGTTTGTATATTTATCCTTGTTTATTGGTTTAAGGCTTTTGGATTATAGATTATTTTTCATAATTTGTGTTGTTGTTTTTTTTGGTTTTCCTGAAAATATTTGTCATTTTTTCTTGATGATGCGAAAATAATCTTCAGATTTGAAATGTTTAATTTTATGGTCAGCACAAGGATTGATATTTGATGTACTGGGGGGGTATACAGTTCCTTCCGACTTGGTGGAAGTATGTGGATGATATTGTTGTCTGTCATGTGATGGTGTAAATATGCTGACAAAAAAATGCAAACTCTGCTAAACACTTTGAACGGGAATCTTAATATGTTTGGTATGCGATTCTTTCCCAACCAGGATTGGTCTGCGTTGATGCGCAGTTTAGAGATTATGGGTGTAAAGTAGTGGTTGGGTGGCGTTGTGAACACTTCACCTATTATTTTCGGTAGTTAGGTCAGCACTAAACAGATTGATTTCACTGACACAATCTTAAGTGAAGTGAAGTGGTTGGTGGAGCACGTTGACTGCTTCACTTATTTGGGAAGTTGCATCAGTCCCAACGCCAGCACGAATACAGAGGGCTAGTTTCACATATGCCAGTTTACGCCGTCTCTGGCCTAGAAGACGTGATATCCGGCTAGCTATCGACCAAAGGGTGTGTGTACTGCTCATCAGTCTGCCCCTTCCTCCTTTAATGGCTGTGAGACCTGGCCATTGAGAGTGGAGGACATGAAGCCTGGCTGTCTGTCTTTGATCATAGGTGCCTGCGCTCTATCTTCCGTCTGTAGTGGTATAATAGGGTGAGCAATATTGAGGTTAGGCTTTGATTGACTGCTAGGTAAGGAGGGGAAAATCAATCGACGAGGCTGTGAAATTACATTGACTGAGATGGTTAGGACATGTGTTACGTATGCATGCCTAGTCATCGCCTTCCTCGACCGACGGGCAATGTTAGATTATATAAGATCAGACCGGAAAAGAGCTAGCGGCGGCCAAACCAAAACATAACATCAGTCAGTGAAATTCACAACAGTTAGTTTAAGCCAGCCATGTAGGAAGCTGTAGACTTCCTGACTGGTTGGGGTCCTCGGGACGGTAAACACCAATGAAGGATAGAAACAATCGGTGATATGGTTCAAAATCGTTTTCAATGAATAGCGTAGATGCATCCACTCCTTGTGAATTATAATTCCCAATGAAACTACATTGTTCTTCGTTATTACTATTCCTTTTGTCTCATATCCCTGTTTACTGTCTCTATTTTACATTTCTTCTCTTGCTTTATGTGCTACATGGAGTGGAGTGTGGCGACGTGAACTGGTGCACATGTGTGCAAATTTCTATGTTGAAAACAGACAGACAATCTTAAGTGGGATACAAAATACACGTATGATAATTAGATTTGAATATCTGGCGATCGATCAAAGGAGATGCGTAGTGTACAGAGGTTCGCTCTGTCCTCCTGCTCCTCGTATATGACTGCTAGACATGGTTGTTTTAAGTGGAAGACTTGAAGAGGCTAGTTGACTTTGACCACAGCTTTCCAGTGGTGTAATATTTAGGTTGGGCCGACGCACTCCTTTACCTCGCCAAGCCAGAAATAATGCTGGTAAGAAGGAAAGGTTGGGAGTGAAGTGATAGAACATGTTGAAGTTGTATCAGCCAGCGCCAACGGACTGATTGGCGACGAAATATCAGAAAGGATCCAAAAAGCTCGAGCTGCTGCTCCAGCTGACTTACACCATCTCTGGCGTAGGCGTTGGTTACATCCGGCTATCAACCAAGGGACGTGTGTACTGCTCATCAGTTCGCTCCGTCCTTCTCTATGGCTCTGAAACATGACCAATACGCGTTGGAGACATGAAAAGGTTGACTGCTTTCGATCATAGATGTCTACGATCTCTGTCTCACGTTAGGTGGTTTAATAAGGTAATTAATGTTGACGTGTCAGGCGTAGAGTGTTGGGCAAACAGGGAAAATCAATCGACGAGGCTATAAAGTTACATAGATTGAGATGGCTAGGTCAGGTGGTGTGCATGCTTAACCATCGCCTCCCCCGACGGGCATTGCTGGCTGATATAGGTGCAGGTTGGAAAAGAGCCAGTGGTGGCCAAACAAAAACATGGCCTCGTCAATCCATGAAATCCTTGACAGTTAAACTAAGTCAGGTAGGGAGATGCAGACTCCCGGGTTGGGGCCCTCGGGACTGACTCTAGGAATCAATGGCTGGAGACAATAGGTGACATGGCTCAAAATCGTTGTCAATGGCCAGCTCAGATGTATTCAGTCTCTGTAATCTTTCATATTCCTCCTTTCTACCATTACCCATTCTGTTTCACTCTTATACTTGTCAAACTCTATTGATTCTCTTCACTCATCTTCTTGTCTACCTTTGTGTGTGCTATTCGGAACGTGGCAACTCGAACTGGTGCACTTCGGTGGGAAGTTCTATGTTGAATCCAGACAAACAGAAAGGTTGGGCATGAGGCTAGCAACCCTATCCTGTAGAAATAAACACCACTGCTACAAAAACTTCAAGCCACTAGCTTGAGGCTCTATGTTCCACTGGGGAACGTGAAGGAAAGAAAAAACAAAGTCAATGTGTAAGGTTGTGAAGCTAACAGCAACTGATATGGCTGGAACACGTCAAAAATAGACGAAGTCATGCTATTGATCGTCGGACAGTATTAGCTGACAAACAGATTAGGTTGTAAAGGGGTAATTGGCGGTAAGATGCAAAAACAATGCCATCAATACATGAAATCTTTGACTGTTGCTTAGAGGTGTAGACACCCTGGACACTAAGAACCTAGTGGCTTGAGTGAGAGTGTTGGTTACATGTCCAAAAATCACTTATACTTCATGAAGTTCTAGATGCATCAAATTCTTAGTTTTCTGCCGCATATTTCTGTTTATTATAGTTCTTTCACATTTGTGTCATGTCTGTCTGTCTGTTTTCAACATAGAACTTTGCACCGATGTGCGATAGTTCAAGTCGCCACACTCCACTCCATGTAGCACGTAAAGCAACAGAAGAAATGTAAAATAGAGACAGTAAACAGGGATATGAGACAAAAGGAATAGTAATATTGAAGAACAATATAGTTTGATTGATAGTATTGTAAGTCACAAGGAGTGGATGCATCTGCGTTAGCCATTGAGAACGATTTTGAACCACATCATCAATTGTATCCAGCCTTCATTGGACCCCAAACAGTCAGGAAGTCTACAGCTTCCTACGTGGCTGGCTTGAACTAACTGTTGTGGATTTCACTGACTTTTTCAGCCTGATCTTATATAATCTAACATTGCCCGTCGGTCGAGGAAGGCGATGACTAACCATACGTAACACATGTCCTAAACATCTCAGTCGATGTAGCTTCACAGTCTTGTCTATTCATTTCCCCTCTTTACCTAGCACTCAACAGAGGCCTAATCTCAACATTGCTCACCCTATTATACCACTTGAGACGAGAGATAGAACGCAGGCACCTATGATCAAAGACAGTTAGCTAGCTAGCCTTTTCATGTCTTCTACTCTCAGAGGCCAGGTCTCACTCACAGCCTTAAAGGAGGACGGAGCGGACTGGTGGGCAGTACACCCGCCGTTTTGTCGACAGCCAGCCGGATATCACGTCTACTAAGCTAGAGACGGCGTAAACTGGAATATGCGAAACTAACCCTCTGTATCCTTACTGAGATTTCGTCAGCGGTCAGATCAACCCTTTGGCGTTGGGGCTGATGCAACTTCCCAAATAAGTGAGGCGGTCAACGCGCCCTACCACGTTTTGTGTTATACGGTGTGTGTAACAACTTGGACTGCTGCAGCACTGTTGTACCAGGTTCTGTGTTGAAAATTCAATTTAGTTCTTGAATGGAATCCTCATTAGTGCTTCAGCTTGTAACATCAACACTACGTTCACAAGATATTACGTGAATGTCAATCCAGTCTGACATGCTAATAGGTAGGCTACACACATTACCCTCCCAATCAACATTAGCTAATCGATTATTAGAATTTAGTTTATGCTGGCTGATGAGTGTTACGTCATAGTCACTAGGTATTGTATCCATTGCAGCCCTAGAAAGGGTCAATTGTAGCCTAATTATATCACTGGTACGTAATACTTTTGACTGAAGGTTTAGGGTGAAGAGGGGTTGGAATTTCTGACGTAGGATCACTTTCTACAATGAGTTCGATGATTGGCTTAAGCACATTTCCCTGCACTAATTACCTTCATTGATATAATATCAATATTTGTCGTTAGATTTTGAATAGCAATATTGTATTATATTGTGGTGTCTATAAGCCAAAATTGTAGACAACAATTTACGTCAATGTTTACATCCCGAACCGGGGTAATGACAAAAAACAATAACAAAGCTTAACCTTGAGAAAATCACCAACCAATCACAGCAGACTTGGCGTGTGCAAATACGATTCGCAGATATATGGCCTAACTTTCTGAGAAACGGTTACAAGCAGTACAGAATAACCCTGTAGCAAGAAAACAACCAATTAGAAGACGATGCTTCTCTGCTAACAGTGACGAATAATAATAATAATGTGCATGAAAATCTATAAATATCTGTTGATCTTCTCAATAAACGATCTGTTGCCTGGCGCTTGTCTTCTGTCGTTACAATATGATCATCATTATTGTTATTGTTCTTCCTGTTAGTTCAGAAGGGAATATAAGTTTTCAGTACCACCACATTGATACCGTAGTCTGTCCTCTTCAATCGTGGATATCTGACTCTATGATTCTCCACAAATATTCACTTTCTCCTTCCTGTCATCTTTGAATGGTGAGACAATGATTTGTTAGTCTTGGAACCAATCGTTAATACAGTGTCATGCGTTTGCACACTACTGCGGTATCTCCCAAACTCAATCGTGTTTTATGTCCACTCTGTGTGTTTGTTTGTGTGTGTAAAAACATACAATAACAGACTAGTGGATTGTGTTTATCATCTTACTAATAATTATCAAGGATAAAACTTACAAAATTTGCATAAATATACACATTCCCTCCCCCCGCCATCAACTAGATGCCTTCCTAGTGTCG